AAATGGTAAATTACCATTAATTATTTAAACAAAAACATATATTGGTGTTTATACATATATGATAATGATTTAAAAATTTATTTCAAAATAATAATAAATAAATAATTAACCCATGTTGATAATCACGTACATTTAGTAATCGTTTTATGTTATTTTACACTCTATGATCGAAAAATACTTCTCCGTTTGTTCTCAGTGCATCTGGGTATGTGCTGACTTCTTCTCGGGGGCAGTCATAAAAGTTTAATTCCTTTTTCTCTGGTTGTTGTAAGTAGCATCCCCCGGGGGCTGCAACTTGCAGAAAACGTCGCCATTTTTGTTGAAATGACAACAAAAGTTTTCTGGTCGGGTTTTTGTGCGGGTGGTCGGAAGTTTTGGAGACAAGTTTTAAATGCTGTTTGCATGTTACGTGGCTTTCCCTTCACCTCCCGCTCTGGAAATAACCTTTCTGGCCTCAAATTACTGTAATGACTCAAGGGGGAATTGAATTTTTGCGGCCTGCTTGGAATTTATAGGTGATTACAGCTTAAAAGTTCCCTTAGAACTAATAAAGAAATGTTTGGCAATTATGCCGCCAAATTATCTAAGCTAAACTGCTATGTCCTCAACTGCCAAACTATTTAAATGCCTTAAATGCTTTAATTTCAACTAAAACCTTATTAGCTCTTGAATGCTTTTGACTTGATTTGTTTCGTAAAAGTAAGTTATATAAAAAGGTTCAAACATTTATTAAGTAAATGATTTTTTAATTCCGAAAATACCATGGTATAGTCGAGGTTGGTGCTGCGTTTTCGACATCTGTGTTATGTGTTATGTGTTTCCCCAAATAAGACGCTTGTCGAGATGGAAGCCGAGGTAGGTGCGTTTCATCGCTGACTTAGGGTATCTGCCTACGATTTAAGGTTAGTTGAGGACCCCATTGCCTGCTAATGGTTTAATTATTTGTACACGCCTGTTTGATAGCCACTTCTTAAATACCAATGTTGCTCTAGTTATGAGGTCGTTAGATGCATTACATCTCAATTAAATGACTCTGTTGTACAGATACGATTCAATAAACTTATGAGTGCACACTGGCAATAGCGTTTTGATTTTATGCATAAGGGCATCAAGCCAGATTTAATCGAATAATGGAAAGACATCAAGTAATATTCCCCTACAATACTCCAGATGTTCGAAAGCGATTCTTTTTCTGATGTTATTCAGTGGACTTGCTTTATAGTTCCATATTACTCCCGGATTGCAAAATAATGTGCCGGGACTCTTAGAAATTGTATTATGAGCTTTAAAACGCATTTTTCAAACAGTATGAAATGACTTTGGATCTGTACGACAACGGATCGTGTCGGGCCCTCAATAATATTTTTACAATCTGTTTTTTCCATTTCTTCTCGACATCACAATGAATTTTGTAGGTGTAAGGCGTTCATTTTTATACCCTTGCAGAGGGTATTATAATTTTGGTCAAAAGTGTGCAACGCAGTGAAGGAGACATCTCCGACCATATAAAGTATATATATTCTTGATCAGGATCACCTCCTGAGTTGATATAGCCATGTCCGTCTGTCCGTCTGTCCGTCTGTCTGTCCGTCTGTCTGTTTCTACGCAAACTAGTCTCTCAGTTTTAAAGCTATCGAATTGAAACTTTGCACACACCCTTCTTTCCTTTGCACGCAGTATATAAGTCGGAACGGCCGGGATCGGCCGACTATATCCTATAGCTGCCATATAACTGAACGATCGGAAATGCCATAACTTTGGTGTTTTTAAAGTTAGGAAGTTGGGATTTTCTATGGGTTTTACATTTGGCCAATCAATTTGACGTACCAAATTTTATAAGGATCGGCCGACTATATAGTATAGCTGCCATATAACTGAACGATCGGAAATGCCACAACTTTGGTGTTTGTAAAGTTAGGAAGTTGGGATTTTCTATGTGTTTTGTATTTGGCCAATCAATTTGACGTACCAAATTTTATAAGGATCGGCCGACTATATCCTATAGCTGCCATATAACTGATTGATCGGAAATGCCATAACTTTGGTGTTTTTAAAGTTACGAAGTTGGGATTTTTTATGAGTATTAAGAATGCATCATATGAATAATTTTGGAAAATATAATTTACAGAGTATTCTGCAAGGGTATATCAACTTCGGCTCCGCCCGAAGTTAGCTTTCCTTTCTTGTTGTAGGTAAAGGCGTTCATTTCAGCTGCTGCTGAATGGATTGTGCTGTTTGGTAATAGTTTCTTATGAGCCTCTTCCTTCTTAAAAACTTTGGCGCGTCTGCAAAAGCAAGCTACAAGTCCGTTACAGACCGTTCTCTTCTAAAACAAGCCGTTCGTCTTGCTGATTAGTCCTTAAGATTTGGTTGTTGCCACGATTACATTTTGCAGGGCATTAGCAGGTCATCGATGTCGACCTTTATGTTGAGCTCTGGATTAGTTCAATGTGTGAACTCACATACTTCATGTGTTTAAGCCAGTTAGTTCTGTGCGATGTCAGCCTGTCGGGGTGCTCAATTATTTCAGGACTTTGAAAAAGAGTTATAAACTAAGGCGAGCATCGGATTACTCGATAGGTCCGAAAGGGATTTGGCACTTATTAGAGGTTTTTTGGCACAGCAAAATGTATAAGATCTGGAAGGGCTGCCAGAAGAATCATTGACCAATTTGTTGATTACATTTACGATGGAGTTGTATTGTTTAAAGCCCTCGGACGCCACAAGCCACGATCCCCAGTGCGTATGGTTGGCGTTGTAGTCTCTTAATGCTATAAAATGATCCTCAGGTGAGTTGTAGAAGACCATGAATTGTCCTGCCGATATTGTAAAGCAGATTCACAGCAGCGATAGTAATGTTGCCGTACCCTGAGTGTAATTTTATTGATGTATTGATGTATTTGTTGCAATTAATTTGCGCCTAACATTGGTGCTTCATGCGCTCCCAAACTTAGAGAATTGAGCATAGTTTAAACTACCTTAACTACCCAATGATTATAATGTGTACTTATCATAACTCAACAGAACCCCAATTCAAGAGCTCAAATGATTTAACCGAGTATAACAAAATTCATTGGGTTAGCTCGAAATGTGAGAATTGTGACACCGCTGTGACATGAAGGCGAGAAGATTCACCATAGATATTGACATTGGTTTCCTTTCGCTGACACGTTAACACACATGGACTGGCTCACACCCGGTTTCGGCCAGGTTTCAATAGGTATCTATATATGGTGTGGCTGCCGCTCGATTCTTTGCCCGGGGTCCACACACGTGCCACCAGTCGGTCTTTGTTCGCGCTATTTATAAAAGTCAGTGACACAGTAACTTGCTTTCCTCCTTCGGCCTTTGTATGGCGCCCGTTTCGCCACTTCTTGCAACTCCTGGTAGCAGAACCTCCTCCTCACCAAGCCCAGCCCCCTCGCCTCCTCAACTCTTTTTCCGCTTTGATAAGCAGGTTCTTTTGTTCCAGCGAGCAACTTTCTATGTGGGCGGCAGGCGAGAAACCCGTGCTCATATTGCTTTTGTTATGCTTGTTGTTGTGGCTTTTGTTCGGTGTGGGTGGTGTGTAGTGGGTGGAGGGGGTGGTGCAAATTCGCCTGATGTTGACTAGCTCAGATACATGCGATATGTATCTACCAAAGATGCAGCTGCACAAACTCTGCTTTCCTCCTCGTTTCCTTCTTTTCTAAAGATAAATTTATGTTTGCATTTTGCGAGCGATTTCGTGTTCTTTGCTGCAAAGTGAGTTTAGTTTTGACTTGCAGGTGGCCTTAAAGTAATGTTTTACTTTTTATTATGCAGTACAGGGTTTCATAGTTAAGGCTTTAATAAAGGCATAAAAATATTCGCTGCATAAGAAGTAAAAAGATAGATTATTTTTTTAAAGAAATTCAATTGGCATTGACTTAATTTGCTGACTGAAGAACTTTAAAAACACTTGATTTATTTTATGTTTTAATCTATCTAGGATGATCAATTTTATTAAGTTTTACCAATTCATTTTTTTTATTGTACATAGATTGTGATTAGTGGACGCGGAGCTTCTAAATATTTTTTAAAAATATGCTAGAAATTGTTATCTTAAAGCAATAAGTTACTTTTTTAATATTTAAAATATATGTATCCTGTCTGCAAGACTGAACTTCTGCACCCTAATCCCCCAATGTGCTTCTTCAACAGCTCACACCCATCTTAGGATTACTTCACATACACACGTCAGCAAAAAGGGATCAATTCCGTGCTCCCATTTATTTCATCTTAAGAAAAAGCCTTTCAATACGTAAATATCCTAAGCCCGAAAACGTGTCCGTTCCGATTAGAGTCCACTAGACCTGGAGAGCCTTCGATGACTTTCGGCTTCCGTCACACAAGTCGAACGGGAAAAGAGTTGTTTACGTCTAATTTGGCTATTTTCGAGGCTTAGGACTCATTTGCGCCGGAATCGAGTCAATGGAAGACCTGATTTAATGTCTTGTTTACCTGTTTTCTCAAGCCGTCTTGATTAATGGTTTTGGCTTTTCAGCTGACTCTTTAAAGGCAAGGTCCGCTAATCTATTTCCCTCGTTGTAGGCTTTAATTATTTCTTTAGGAATTCCGCAGGAAAGACATTCAATTGTGCTTTCCCATTATATGTCCCTTACTTCCGTCGTTTCCTCCAATTGAGCAGCTGTCAATAAACATTTTTTTGTTTCGTTACACAGTGAAAAATCTAAGTTTTGTTATATGTATATTCTTGAATTCACACCTGATATTAATTCTATGCTCCTCGTTCTTAATTAGATAAAGTTTACTTATAACCAAGACATTTAGTTCTGTACTTTAACAGTAACAAAAATTTTGTTTCAAGTCTTACGAAATCGTATATTTCTTGAGAAACCGACAGAGGAACTTACCGTTAATCGCTATGAATCGTAAATTTTACTTTCAAACGCACATCTAACGAATTAACAAATAACATCTACTTAATACTGATAATTTGTTTTCTCTGCATTTCACAGTTGGATCGCGTGACTCCTCGGGCAGTGCTTCGTCCTCATCCGCCGGCTCCCCGTCATCCTCGTCATCGGGAAGTGGCGGCTCCGGCTCATCCTCTTCGTCGTCGTCATCCTCCTCGTCGGCTGGAAGTGGGAGTGGCAGTGGAGGTGCTGTCAAGTATCCTGTGCTGGTCTTCGTGCACGGCGAGTCGTATGAGTGGAACAGCGGCAATCCCTACGACGGATCCGTGTTGGCCAGCTATGGACAAATATTGGTGGTAACCATAAATTATCGCCTCGGAGTGCTGGGTAAGTGCTCTGCACAGTCAAATCCTAATGCTAATTGATATGCCGAGTGCATGACCGAAAGTACGAAGGACAGCGGGACGGATATGCGAGGACGAGCGAGGCCAGTGCAATGGCGCGAACGTGCGCCAACCAATCGACCCCCTCGTCCTTCCAGCCAACCTCTTTTCCCATCCAGTTGCAACATCAACTGCACTTCCGGCGCCAACAGCAACAACAACGGCAGCTGTAGCAACTGCAGCAGCTACGAGGCGTACATTTATTCCATAATCTAACTAATTTAGCTAGAGTCTGGCGCAAAATACACCAGCGCACAGTGGATATTAGTATGAAATTAGAAAGACTGGGGAACATTATTAAATTAAATTATAGTTTGCTTTTATATGCAAATAGAAGATAATGAAATAAATAAAGGCAGATCACTATTATAAAAACTTATCTGACAAAATTTCGCCATCTTTCATTTAATTTAAATGATTAAATTAACCGATTACCTATTGACAAATTAGTTTTCTCTAAATACTTAAATTAATGTTGACTTATAGCAAGGAAAAAATAAATTTTTTTTGATTTCGAAAGAAATTAATTAATATTACATTTTATTTGGTATTAGTAAACATTTACTGGGTTGAAGTGGTAGTTCAGACCACTGTGCACTGCCCAAAACTCAGTGTAAATTCAAATGCACAGGCAAAATTAGTGTGACCTCATTGCCGCCAGCCACCATTTCTTTCTGCCCCTTTCCCCAAACAACCCGACCCCTTCCCTCCGCCGCTGCCGACGCCTCTGTTGTTGCAGAGGAAACGGAAGTGCTGACATCATGATTTGCACGCGTGACTTTGCACATTTTTGCGGAAAAAAAGAGTGGCGTTTGACATTTTAAATAGGCAAAGCGACCGACTGGCTGACTGGCTGACTGGCTGACTGCACGAGTACGCGGCGAATCGATTAAATTTCCATTCGCGAGCCAATCAGGCGCGCAAGGAAAACTGCTGATTAAGTGCGGGAAAACCCGGCCACTATTTGCCCATTTGCAGGCTTTCTGAATGCCAACACGGACCGCTACTCGAAGCTGCCGGCCAATTACGGCCTGATGGACATCATTGCGGCGCTGCACTGGCTCAAGGAGAACATCGCGTCCTTCGGCGGGGATCCCAACAGCATCACCCTCGCAGGACACGGCACGGGAGCGGCCTGCGTCCACTTCCTCATCTCGTCAATGGCCGTGCCGGAGGGTGAGTACGTCCTCATGGTCCTGGACAACCTGGACTGGGCAAACTGGTCATGCGGGGAGGTGATGGTGGAGCCCCTCATATCCACTTGCCACACGGAAAGCAAAATAATATTATTGAAATCATAAAAGTGGTTTTTACACTTTTTCACCTCGTAAACACTACAGCAAGAACATGGTTTACTTTACCTATTTTTAACTCTTTAGCTTTTTGTTTTCAATCCCTTGTCTCACTGTTATGATTAAGACCCAACGACTACATACAATTGTGAAACTTGATTTAAATCAAATACATATTTTGATTTGTAGATTCCCAGTTAATGAGCAGCGTGTTATTCATTCGATTTTCCCCCTTGTCCTTTCATCCCAAGGCCTGCTCTTCAACCGAGCCATCCTGATGTCCGGCTCGGGCCTGGCGCCCTGGTCGCTGGTCAGCAACCCGGCCAAGTACGCGGCCATCGTGGCCCACCACGTCAACTGCGCCTCCGACCTCCCGCACGCCCACCTCATGAAGTGCCTGCGCGAGAAGACCCTGGACCAGCTGCTCAGCGTGCCCATCCGCCCGCCGGAGTTCGGCTTCGCCTTCGGACCCAGCATCGACGGGGTGGTCATCGACGGCGGGGACTACGTGCCGCCCGCCCCCGGCTCCCCGGCGGCCCAGGCCCAGGCCCAGGCGTCGACGGCCGCCGGGAACGGACTGGGCGGCGAGGCGGGAATCGCGGCTGCCGGCGGGTGGGGAACGCCCGGTCAGCTCGAGAATATCGGTAGGTTATGGAGTGCCCTAATGACTGACTTTCCCACGGCTGTAGCAACAGGGGCGCAAGTCTATTTCAAAAATGTTCGCAGTTTCAGTGAATATTTTAAGGTCCTTCCTTAGTATTTAACGCATATATCAGAAGGATAGAAACAGTGTTTTTTTCGTACATTTTTTGGGGCTTAAGTACAGTTACTGCAGACGGTGAGCGTAAGTTTTTTTTTCAACACCCTATTGGCCATATATCTTTTCAGATTGCTCATTGTAATAGCGCATTATAATGGTTAAATAATTAGTAGTTAATTAGATAAAATATGTTTTCCAGGGGTTAATTAATTAAATTAAAAATTATTTAAGTGCATCTGGACGCTTTTTCGTTTACTCGCAAATTACTCTCATTTTCTTTGCATAATTAAAATAAATTAAAAAGCAGTGGATTTTTTCGCTTCTCCATTTTTCTCTTCAACACGATTCCTTCGGTTCCTGTTGATGGTGATGATGTTCTTGATGATGATGAAAATGAAAATGATGTTTCCTCACACATATGCCTGCACGAATGAACAACAACACTTTCGCTTACCCAACTCGCGGCGGACTTTTTAATTAATGCAGTATTAATGAGAAAAACTGCCATTAACAAGTTGTCAAGGTAAGTTGGGTTAGGCCGGAAAATGCTTAATTATTTTTACCTTAACTTATACCCCTTTCACAAACCCATACATATGTGAGATTACACAAAGAAAAATGTACTAAAATATCAGTTTTGTATAATTAAAACAAGAGAGAACGCTATAGTCGGGTGCCCCGACTATCAGATACCCGTTACTCAGGTAAAGGGAGTGCGAGGGAGATGGAGATAGAAATTTTGATCACGCATAACTTTTTAACGAATGGTCCGATTTGAAAAATTCTCTACATTTCGATAGGTATTGATAAACACAATAAAACTGCATTTTTACTTTTCCGAAATATTTAAATTTTTAAAATCGTATATAAGCGATTGTGGGCGTTAAAGGGGGCGTGGCACCATTTTGAAACAAACTTGCGCTGCGTAGGAACTTCTAAAATCTACTTGCAAAATGCCAATCTTCTAGCTTTTATAGTTTCCGAGATCTCAGCGTTCATACGGACAGACAGACAGACGGACAGACAGACGGACAGACGGACAGACGGACATGGCTAAATCGACTCGGCTAGTGATCCTGATCAAGAATATATATACTTTATAGGGTCGGAAACACTTCCTTCTAGCTGTTACATACTTTTGCACGAATACAATATACCCTTTTACTCTACGAGTAACGGGTATAATAAGAGAGATCTAAAAAATCTAGCACTGGTGAATATTCTAAGCACAAATTTGATATTTTAAAACTAAAACATATTCTGGAAATAGAAAGACTTAACTACGTCTCCAGACTTCTTGGGAAAGTTTTATTCAGACAGCTTTAAAATTGAGAGTAGAGTTTCTTACTTAAAATATAATAACATTTGCATGGATTTTATTATCATGCATATCAATAAAACTCTTGCAAATAAAAAATTGTGTCCTTGCGGTAGGCAAAATATCTCCGTCAATTTTTATCTGAAATCAAAAAACCAAAATTATTCTGATAGTGTATGTGTCTCGCCTGTCCTCTACGAGCCATTTTTTTAAAAAATTAAAAATTGAATTTTTTTGTAGCGCTTTTCATAAAAAGTGCCATTTTTATACCCTTGCAGAGGGTATTATAATTTCAGTCAAAAGTTTGCAACGCAGTGAAGGAGACATTTCCGACCCTATAAAGTATATATATTCTTGATCAGCATCACCAGGAGAGTCGATCTAGCCATGTCCGTCTGTCCGTCTGTCCGTCCGTCTGTCCGTCTGTCCGTCTGTCCGTCCGTCCGTTTCTACGCAAACTAGTCCCTCAGTTTTAAAGCTATCTGCTTGAAACTTTCCCAAAAGTTGTCTTTCTATTGCAGGTAGTATATAAGTCGGAACGAGCCGGATCGGGTGACTATATCATATAGCTGCCATATAACTGAACGATCGGAAAAGCCATAACGTTGGTGTTTCTAAAGTTAGGAAGTTGGGATTTTCTATGAGTTTTATTTTTGGCCAATTAATCCGACCTACCGAATTTCATAAGGATCGGACGACTATATCCTATAGCTGCCATATAACTGAACGATTGGAAATGCCATAACTTTGGTGTTTTTAAAGTTAGGAAGTTGAGACTTTTTATGAGTATTAAGAATACACCATATGAATAATTTTGAAGAATATAATTTACAGAATATTCTGCAAGGGTATATCAACTTCGGCTCCGTCCGAAGTTAGCTTTCCTTTCTTGTTTTTTTTTGATTTGCTCAATTTTTACATGTTTATTATACCCTTGCAGAGGGTATTATAATTTCAGTCAAAAGTTTGCAACGCAGTGAAGGAGACATTTCCGACCCTATAAAGTATATATATTCTTGATCAGCATCACCAAGAGATTCGATCTAGCCATGTCCGTCTGTCCGTCCGTCTGTCCGTCCGTTTCTACGCAAACTAGTCCCTCAGTTTTAAAGCTATCTGCTTGAAAATTTCCCAAAAGTTGTCTTTCTATTGCAGGTAGTATATAAGTCGGAACGAGCCGGATCGGGTGACTATATCATATAGCTGCCATATAACTGAACGATCGGAAAAGCCATAACGTTGGTGTTTCTAAAGTTAGGAAGTTGGGATTTTCTATGAGTTTTATTTTTGGCCAATTAATCCGACCTACCGAATTTCATAAGGATCGGACGACTATGTCCTATAGCCGCCATATAACTGATTGGTCGGAAATGCCAAAACTTTGGTGTTTGTAGAGTTAGGAAGTTGGGATTTTCAATGGGTTTTATTTTTGTCCAATCAATCCGACCTACCAAATTTCATAAGGATCGGCCGACTATATCCTATAGCTGCCATATAACTGAACGATTGGAAATGCCATAACTTTGTTGTTTTTAAAGTTAGGAAATTGGGACTTTTTATGAGTATTAAGAATACATCATATGAGTAATTTTGAAGAATATAATTTACAGAATATTCTGCAAGGGTATATCAACTTCGGCTCCGTCCGAAGTTAGCTTTCCTTTCTTGTTTACGTAAATTTTGGCCGTATTTTGGCTTATAAAATGAGTTGTAATTAAAAATTTAAAAAATCCCTCCGTTAAGGACAAGAGAATTATGTCTAAAAGAAGTGTGCAAAAGCAGAAGTTGATCGGTGCAATAGTTTTTGAGAAATCGTGACTACCGACTTCAAAAAAGTGGTTTTGAGAAAAACGCGTTTAAAGTGCCGTATCTGCCCGACGCCAGAGCCCGAATGGCCCGTTGTGACGTTCGACGCGCTGGGCTTTAAATTTCTCGCATTCCTACAGTTTTGCTTTGATCGACTTGAAATTTTCAGACAACATTCCTGAAACTTTGTACTATTATATAAAAAAGTTTGAAAAAAATGAATTTTTTGAAGTGTCAAGACCCGGATAACCCCTTAAGGAAGATAAATAAATTTTAATTTTTGTGATTAGGATCATCAGCCAAAGTCGATCTAGCCATGTCCGTCATCATATCGGAAAACATATACTAGAAAATCATTTTAAAATTCTTGAGTTCGAGAATAAAAGCATTGAACTTGAGGTTCCTATGTTTTTTAAAGGTATAATATCAAACTTATTTATATGAGTCCACCATATATAGAATGACCATTCTTTTGTGGTGCTTTTTTCCTAGTGCACGACTTTATTTAACTTAAATATGTGCTATAATTAATTTTAAGTCTCGACTTCTTTTGGCAAGTTTGTGCTACCTTTGTTGGCTGTCAAAGGAGTTTTATCTTGACTGTTGCCACGGCACGATCCTTTTAACAGCCGTTAGCTTAGCCAACGATAAGATTTGGCCACACACCAGCTTTTCCCACACTTGCATATAATTAATTTATGCACATTAGGCACGCAAATGTTGGGCTTCATTTTGTTATGCTCAGTTCGCTGCTGGCCAACGTGGCTCCTGTGGAGTGCTGGTTGAAGTGGTGTGGGCACTTGATTTATGCACTTTGTGTTTGAGCCATTTTACATTGTTAATATATATTATTAACAGCTAATTAGCTGCGATTCCATAATTGATGTGCGGCTATGCTGTTGAGTCCCCCAACTAGACTAGCTGTAGTGCTGTGAAAGTTCATTTATTTTTACTCAACAAAAAGGATGATTGAAAAAATATTCTTTACTAAGGTGAAGTGTAACCATTAAAAAAGTCAGAAGAACAATAAATTTGCATTTAAACAAAATCTGTTTATTACTGCTTTGCGTTTATGTTAGTAATTTCATTAAAAAACCAAATAATAAGCTAGAGAAATTGAGTACCTAGAGGTACCGACATCCAACTACCGACATATAGAACTGCCCATCACTGACTATCTGCAATTCAAGTCAAGCACTAGAGCGCACTGCACTTGAATAGATAATTAACAGAGAATTGGAATGCCAGCCAATCAAACGCACAGTCAATAGTTAATGAGAACTCTTTTTGAGTTGAAAATTGCAGCACTTTGAGGTCCTGGCTTTGAGCTTCAACTCGTGTGCAGCGTGGCATTGTTGGTCTAACATGAATTTATCTCGTGCGCTTTGTAAACTGTCAATGTCCTGGGGGCTATTAGTCGGTCTCCCTGCCAAAGGAGTTTAAATATTTCTTTGTGCACATTTAAAAGCAATTTGGCGAGCACACACGCACGGCGAATATCCAAAGGAATTCCAGTAAACACATGCACAAAGAGCAAATAAAATTTGCCAAATATAAAACGCAAAACTTTCAACCGACCAATCTCTTCTCGGTCTGCGTCTATCTCACAATGTGCGTAAACAAATAAGGCAAAAACAAATTTAGAATTGCAAATGCTGCAAGTTGATGCGATGGTCAGTGGCTGTAGATACTTACCCAGCTGCTTTTGGCCGAGAGTTGCTTCAAAGTTTTATATCTATCAAGAGTGCGGTTAGCTGCAAGGGCTTGCTTAAACTTGTTTAACAAATGAATGGATACAAAGTTTTCCGGCAAAATTATTGTGGCAGAGAGATAAATGTGAATTGATGCTTGAGGAATGCAATTTGTTGGTTGCAAATTCTTAATTACAAAGCATAATTTAAGCCAGCGAAAGCACTTTAACAGGAACCCTGTTTTATTTCTTAATTCGGAAATTTCTTGAAAGCAACCCGGTCAATCAGCGACTCAGGTATCCTCAAATTATCAAAGAAGGCTCATCTTTGGCGAGGAGTTAACAGTTTGAAAGCACGCAGAAAAAATTCTTCTGGGTATTCGATGTAAAATCAGGGTGTCAAAGAAATTTCTCCCAATCAATTATTTTTTTAGAGAAGGCGTTTCTGATAATCCCTAGTTAAGATTGTTTACCATTGTGGCATTTTGATTTTACAAAAATCAGAAACAGTTTTTAACTAGGTCTTATAAGCTAAAATAATCTTCCTGTTTAAAATAAAGAAGTCAAGACATCTGAATAACTGGTTCTAAAGTTGTGGTCTATTTAATTATACAATTCCCATGGATTAAAAAAACCAATATCCTTATGATCAATATATAGGAATATCTTTGTAACTTTACTAACTGGTTCGAACATATTTATCGAGTTTTTTCGAGTGCAAATACTGACACCCCCATTTCCATTCGCATTTTCGCAGATACGACCTGATGGCCGGCGTGACACGTGCCGAGGCCTTTTTCAGCTTCAATTCGGGCGACGTGCAATATGGAATCGAGGCGGATCGACGGTCGAGAATTTTAAAGGCCTACGTACGCAACACGTACACGTTCCATTTGAACGAGATATTCGCCACGATTGTCAATGAGTACACGGATTGGGAGAGGCCCGTGCAGCATCCAATTAATATCCGGTGAGTAATTGCGTTTGTATGCGAGCCCCTCGAACGCGAGGTTCCAAAGGGGCGGAAAGGGTGAAGACGGCACCGAGCAGGTGGGGATTTCGGGGAGTAGGGTGGCCTGAGTTGCTGGGTGGCTGGGTGTGTGCCAAATAAATATTTCGTTCTTAATTAAATGCGCAATGGCATGCCCCGATCTCTTGGTCCGGTGCTCACATCCCGAGCAGGTTTCAATTAAAGCGGCTTAAATGAATCTTGATTTCAATCTTATGGCAAATGAAATGCAAATTTATTGTCCATTCGCTACGCATCGTGTCGCTCGGTCAGCCAGCCAGCCAGCCTGCCTGCCAATCTTCATAAATAATGTTCGGCTGCAATTTGTCCGCAAACGGGTAGTATAAGTGAGATGGAAATTGCTCGCACACACACCCAATCGAATATATGATTTGCTTTTCATTTTTCGATTTCAATCAATATTTATGCTTGCGACTAGGCCAAAGTGACATCCCAGCTGGCACCCAGAATGCATTCATATCATGTAGAATATATGTTTCGACCCTGGTTTCGATTTCCTCAAACAATTTATTTGTGTTTGCATAATTTTTGCGAAATTACCTTCAATATTTTCAAAGAAATATGGCAAACAAATTGATTTCCCTTAGTGCAACGCATGGCGTATACTCAACACTGCCTTTACGGCCCTCTGCAAAGTTGGTGCCGGAGTTGTGCGGACGTGCGTTAAGTGGCCTCCAATGAAGCACGGCGAACGTTTCACGCTTCAACTCTGGCAAAGGCTGCGTTTCCGGCGAGCATTGATCACAGGCGAGGGAGGGGAAACTCAGGTGGGGGCGGAGCTTCCGAGAATACAGAAAGGCTCCTTTCCATTTAAGTGTCAGCGATACAATAAATAGATTTGCCTTCTTCGCACCAGAACTTTATGCAATGGGGAGTTGTAATGAAATATGAAGAAAATAACAACATAGCAAGAAAAATATCGACAAGAGATGCATTTTCATTGAAAAGCTTTAAAACCAAAGTATTGAAATCTTTCCTATGATGTGAAATATCTTTGGTATATAGTTCAAAACATGAAGTGTTATGTTAAGAACACTAGTGAATAAAAAAATTATTATTATAAATATTATTATTACTATACAAAATGCACACCTATCAATTTAACACCCAACTATTATTAATATTAGCTTTACTTATGTAGAACTGTGTATGAATTCAATAAGAAAATTAGACCCCAGATTTACCAGAACAACATTTATCACTCTATAATATTCATTATATTATATAATATATGTAATGCAAATTGTTCCTAGGGGAGCTATGTGATATAGTTGGCCGATCCGGCTCGTTCCCACTTTTATACTACCTTGATTGACTCTCCTGGTGATGCTGATCAAGAATATATATACTTTATAGGGTCGGAAATGACTCCTTCACTGCGTTGCGAACTTTTGACTGAAATTGTAATACACTCAGCAAGGGTTTAAAACGAAAAATGGCTTTGCTCAGCAATCGTGAAAGAAGAATTTTAGAATGAGTTTTCTTCCAATTGGTAAAAACTAATTTTTATTGTTAATAAATTGTGAGCCAATTATTATATTATAGTAAAAGATAATATTTTCGGGGATTTCAGCGATAGTTTTAAAAAGTAAAGCTCATTTAACATTATACACTAAATGCGGAGAGACACTCCAAATAATAAAATGCAAAAGGCACAACGAACTATTTTCAGACCATCGCCTGGTGGATCCATCTTTGCTGCATTGAAAAGATATGTATGCAAATGCGCCAAATGGGTTTTATTCAAATTTTACGCTGGTGCATTTCGAATGCTGAACAAACTAAAAAAGCGGAAAGGGCAGACAGACAAAAATAAGAAAAAATGAGGAAAATCAGACGGGCGAAAAAAATGAAAACCCAAAATAGGCTTAGGGCAGCGTTGAGAACCCCTCTTGGTAAACAGGTAAATACGAGCCACATCAACGAAAGTGGCAGCACTCAAAGTGGCTTGTTAGTTGCGCACTTGAACACAGCTCGATTGGCGAAGAGCAATAGCAAAATAGCCGGAAAATTGCAAACGAGCTGAAGGGCGGCGACGGGCAAATATTGAAAAATTGTTATTTGATTTTAATGTTGTGCTTTTTCCCCATTTCCCACAGGGACGAAACGCTGGAGGCGCTGAGCGATGCCCAGGTTGTGGCTCCGGCGGCTCAAACGGTGGACTTGCATTCGGCGGATCATCGGAACTCCTACTTGTACGTGTTCGACTACCAGACGCGCTTCGGTGATTATCCTCAGGTGAGTTCAAGTTCAAAGTAGGACTCAAAGGTCAAATTAAAACAAAAATGTGGTTCGACCTAGGCAAAAATTCTCAACATTTAAAGTATTACACTATACCAAAGTTAGTTTTCATCAGCGTTCTTCTACTGGTTTTATTTTTGAATTCAAAGAAAATTTACATTTCATAACAATCAGTAATAAAACACCCGTTCAAGTTTAACTATCTTATTATTTCCAATTACATTGTGAGAGAAATACTCACAATTATCCTAATGTTATAGGAAGCCAAGTCGTAGTTGTTGCGATGACAGCCTGAAAACACATTAGTACTAATGGGATCGGGGTCAAAGGGCTGATGTGAGGCCAGGCACTTAATTTGGTTTCTGGTTCTCTGGGATTTTACAGCGCCAGGGATGCATTCACGGTGAGGACTTGCCCTATATCTTCGGTGCCCCGCTCGTTGGCGGTTTCAATCACTTCACGCGCAACTACACCAAAACCGAAATCAGTCTATCGGAAGTTGTGATGTTTTACTGGTCCAACTTTGTGCGAACCGGGTAAGTGCAATTTTGAATGCTGCTGGTTTCCATTTCAAATGGACTCAACTAACTGACCACAGTTCAATACACAGAAAAGTATTCCACATCTTTTGAACTCTCGACTCGATTATTACACCAGTTACTCGTAGAGCAAAAAAAAAATATGTAACAGTTACCCCCTATATAAAAAGTATAAGATCTCGGAAACTATAAGTAATAAAGAGTTGGGACTGAAGATTTTGGTGTTGCGTATTTTAGAAAGCGACGAATACTATCTCGGTCTATGTATACTGTGCACATACCTTAGTTTTCTAAAAATTATTAAATAATTGTTTAATTTTAAAATTTGGGAAAACATAAATGAAGGGTTTTTCCTTCGTGAAGTCGTGGCACCTTATAGCGTTCCTTAAAAGACTTTTGCGATGTGAAAGGCAGGTTCTAATTTCTGCATATGGTTTTTCTTCTCTATGGGTGTCTTAAAAATACTTATTTTTCTCTGTGTATGCAAACCGCATTTATGTCAAACTCTATCTCGATTCACACACTATCATCTCGCCCGCTTGCAGCAATCCAAATGAGCAAATGGAAACGGAGCATGGGAGTCGTCAGGAGCGGAGTCGCTATAAAACAATCGAGTGGACGGCCTACGAAAGTGTGCACAAGAAATACCTAAATTTCGGTTAGTATGGAAATTATTTATTTTCCTCTGTATGTGGATTGTAGTTTACAAAGTATAAACAAAGATTATTTTCATACTCAAAAATATATTATCGAATTCCTTTCTATTTTCCCCAATATTTAATGCAGATACCAAGCCAAAGCTGAAGAATCACTATAGAGCACACCGCCTCTCCTTCTGGCTAAACCTCATCCCGGATCTGCACAAACCAGGCGGCGATAATGTGCCCGCTGCACACCACCAACTGCACGACGACGAGGAGGAGGACAACAACATCGCCAGCGACGCCTCCGTGAAGCCCCTTAATCCGCCGTACACTTCGCGGGCTGCCAATGCGGCGGCCATGGGAAACTTCACGATTTTCACCAACCAGGTCTTCTCACTACTCAACCTCAGCTCGCCGTCTTCATCGCTTCAGAGAAACGGCACTCGGTACGGGGGCGGTAAGATATATCCAGATGACATGATGGATGCAGATCATGCGGGCGGCGCAGCCAGTGCGTCGCAGGATAATGACGGCTTTGCTGCCTATTCCACAGCCTTGAGTGTCACTATAGCTATAGGTTGCTCGTTACTGATCCTGAACGTTTTGATCTTCGCGGGGGTCTACTACCAGAGAGACAAGACCCGCCTCAGCGAGCCCAGGCCCCAAACCAAGCTGAAAAGGCAGGAAAACGGTCAGATGCCGAATAACATATGCGGGGACTTGGAGACGCTCACCATCCACGCAAAGAGCGACCCGGCCACCATCCTGTCGCACCACCATGCCATGCAGCACCACCAACTGCCGCCGCCGGAGTTCGCCGACATACCGCACCGCGCGCCTCCGCCGCCGAAGCACATGAAGTCCCTGCAGGATCCGGGGGCGGGGGCGTTGGCGGGGGTTCGGTCAGTGGGGCGGTGGGCGTCTCGGGGGTGGTACAAATGGCTCCGCCACACGCCCTCCAAGTGATGGGCAATCAATGCGGTACACTGACCAAAAAGAGCTGCATGAAACAAACGCAGGCCCAGGCCCAGCAGCATTCGCCTGCCCAGCAGCAGCAGCAGCAGCAACATGTGGTTACCCATCAGCAACACTTGCAGAATCATCATAATCAAAGCATGACCACTGTGCTGACCACTGCCGGTGGACTGGTGGTGCCCACGCCACCCACTGTGCCCGTGATTGTTGCCACCACCACGCAGCACCAGCAACACCAGCAGCAGCAGCATCAGCAACAGCAGTCGCACCAGCAGCACCAACAACAGCAGCAGCAACATCCGCTGATGGACGAGCTGCGTGTGTGACATTAATTGACCGTGCGTTTTAAATGTGATCTCTAAGCGCACAGCATCCCTGACCCGGCCCCTAATCCCTTTCCAATGCGTTTCAGCTGTCCCTATATATAAATTACATAGGCTATAGCCTGTAAGTGTGTGTGAGGAGTTCCAGCTGTGTCTATCCAATACTCGCGGATGCTTCTCCTCGGTAAACCCTGCTGGTTGATTTTCTAAAAACGTTCACTGTAAATAGTTAAGTGTAGATTGTTGTCGAACTCATAATCAAAGAAAGCTAACTTGGAATTTAAACTGAGCGGCAAGGTGTTCATTAAATGGTTTAATTGCATATGTTTTCATAACTTACCCAATATTTACTACTTTTAGAGCGATACTTGATTTCACACTGAACTATATCTTTAGTATAAATAACATATATTTATTCATAATTTGGAACTTATAAATATATTTACTATGGTTTACAATTGATAGTTTTACTTTTTTGGGTAGTTCATAGCAAACGTTTTATTTGTATTTAAGCTTTACATATAGAACCGATTACACTATTTTTTAGTTATTTCTCTTACTCTAATATGTATTTTACAACTATTTAGGACCAATAAAAACCACATAATTCCAAGTTACGGACAAGTTTCCATCTCTTCCTTTTGTTGGCGTTAGTATAGAAAACATTACGGTAGAATAAAAGTATAGGAAATCTAAGAAAATTCGGAATGCGTAAAAACAAAAAAGAACATTAATGTTATTCTTCCAAAGACTGAATTATAATTGTGTATTGTGTGTAAATAAAACTAGTTGCAAAAATAAAAGTACTACTCTACATGTACAACAAACAACTCCCATATTTGTATATGAATTTCAAACGTATAAATATGAGAGCAAAGTTTTTAGCCAAACAAAAAACAGAAGACATAGCCGAACGGTCAAGAAAGGTGGCAGTCATAAAATCAAATAATGTACAGGAAAAAGGGAGCTGTTCCTTTAAGTTTTGGCAGGAGATTTGTAAAAACGAAACTGTACAACTACCCCAACCAAACAATAGAAGCAACATAAACTCGAACTAAAACTAAAACCTAACTTTGGTCAGGCAGAAAACAAACAAAACAACAACAAAAGCAAAATTAAATTAAACTGTTAATTGTAAGCATGCAGCTACTTTGTTATGTAACTAAATAAATATTTATATAGTTATTAAAATTAAATGCGTATATAAGCCCACAAAAAAAACAGTAAGCTCTCTATACAGCTATACAAACTTCCAACTGCGAGAATAGTTAAAAATTCCATTAGGAGTTAAGCGGGGCAATTGAAATGCGCAGTGAAAGCATAACAAATATTCATAATTTTTCGTATTTTTTTATTCAGTTGTTTTTTTTTCAGAACTACAACTATTTGCAAACAATTGCCCAAAATTGTAATTAAAATGGAAATGATACCCGAGAAAAAACAGAAGGGGAAAATTAAGCAATGGAACAGCTCATTAAAGTGAAACAGCGCGGAAATTGCAAACAATTTACGGCGCTTATTAAAAATACTTGTAAATTATATAAACACATTTAGCGGCAATAAAAACCAAAGTGAAAAGTATACTATAATGAAAAACAAAAACCATTTACAGCCCAATTGAGAATGTTTAAGTCTATAGCTTCTGTATGCGTAAACATACATCTACAAAAATAAATCTATATATTAATGTAATGGTGTAAACTTAGCATAATTAGCTAAATAATACAACAAATATAAATAAATAACATATAGAGTGCTGCATAACTGGCAAAACAAAAACGATACAATTCAAACCAAAACTCATGAAACTATTGCGTTAGAAAATGTGTAACGATTGTGCGAAAGAGACTTAGTATTAACAAATTTGGACTAAATGGAATATAGTAAAAATCAGTAAGAAAAAAAAGCCCAATGAAAGGAAAGAAGAAAATTTAGTTTAATGGTGTATTAACACGAAAGCCATGTGAAACAAGTTGCAGACATTTAAGATGAAATGGAAATTAAAATAATAATAAAGTTGCAAAAATTATAAAAATACATTCGAATAGTTTTTATTCATATGAAGGAATTATTTTTGAAAGATAAAGAAAAAGGTTTGTATTTTGGCTTCGCTCCAATTTTATACAATATAGCACATTTGTTACACTTTATTTATATAATATAAGGAATGAAAGCAATTTGATAGCCCAAGTGTTTTGATACCTACTACTTAATACGATACATAATAACATTTTTTACGAAGATTTTTATAAAACACAATTTAAGGACTGATATCCTCTTATTTGTTGTTTTCTATTTAAAAAACGTTTAAAGCTCCCAAAGAACCCAACTTAAATGCAAGTGGAAGGTTAAATTATTGAGGCATATGCACTTTAAGAGACTATTGAAGCGTTGAGTATCCACACACATCTCCGAACATCCCACTCGCTTATTGGGATACAGATAGTTCCCAGCATCTTTATGCGAAACAAATATGGCAGTGGCACCCACACAGAGATACACCCCAACACACACAGACTGAGTCCACACACAACTACACTTGTTAACCAAATATTCGCAGAGCTGCAGCAGCAAGGATAAAAGCAGAATACAGAGATGCGGGGGAATTGCTGGGTGGGGGACATATACTACGTACTGTAGTATAATAATGGCTCTATTGATACCAAAATAGAATGCGCAAAGGAAAAACCCGTTGGAGATAAGTTTCTTTAACGAAAAAACCGAGACGGATAAGAACAAGAAAATCCATTGAAAATAGATTTATTATGTAAATTTGGCAAAGCGTAAGTGAGTGTGCTATTACTCCATCTGTGTCTCTTGCAGCTTAATTTATAAAATAGAATAATAGCACTACTGTCTGCTCTCTGAAACCCATATATGCTTAGCGCTATAATTGAATCAAAACAATTTCAAACTAGCTTCGCTTTCGCTTTGTCTTCTCCCTCGGCTTAAGATTTGACTGATTTTTATTACCAATGACGAAATCCAATTGAAAGTCGAAAAACAATGGGGCAAAAAGGAGAGTCTTGGCATTTAATCCCCTCAAAAAAGTTTCGTTTCGTAGTTTGGCTTTTGGGTTACTTTTGCATACGACGTACGTGTTTTGTTTTGTTCGTTTCACTTAAAATCAGGACGCCAGGGGCGTGCCTTGGGTGGGCGTTAGTCAAGCTGTGTTTAATTTATTAGCACAAGCCGGTTAAAATTAAATAATAAAAGTCCTCCAAGTGGCTCTCCTTCTCTGTGCTCCCCCTATGAGCGAGTGAAAATTATCACTTTTAATGCTGCCAAAAAGGTCACGAGTCAGGGGGCGGTGCTGCTGGAGGTCGTTCGACCCTTTGATGGGCGTGAGGCCAAAAGCAAATGGCTGGCTAGCTGAACATTCGTCCTCCCTGTTTCCCTAAGTCCTGGCAAGTTGATAATTTATGTTGCGAAATCTGTTGGAAATTGCTTTATACGCTAATAAAAGTATTTCCAAAGGGGTAACAAACAACTTTATTTAAGGTGATTCAAATTTGGACGGAAACTAAAAGGCAGAGAACTGAAAGTTGATGGCTTAATTACAACTCAAAAGTTTATATCTTATAAAACGTTTTATAATAAATTTTAAGTCATAAATGCACTACATGTAAACTTATTGTAATGTTTATAAATAGGTATAATGAAGATGAATACTACAGAAATATCTTCAAAACAAATTACGATAGGATCATTTTCAAAAGGTTATTATTTTAAAGCAAAACAAAGAAATACCGTAAATGATAACTAAATGAAAACTAAATAATTCAATATAAATTCAACTTTTGGTAAAGCTTAAGCTTTAAAACTAATGATTAAATAACAAAACAAGAGAGAACGCTATAGTCGGGTGCCCCGACTATCAGATACCCGTTCCTCAGGTAAAGGGAGTGCGAGGGAGATAGAGATAGAAACTATGATCACGCATAACTTTTTAACGAATGGTCCGATTTGAAAAATTTCTTCTACATTTCGATAGGTATTGATAAACACAATAAAACTGCATTTTTACTTTTCCGAAATATTTAAATTTTTAAAATCGTATATAAGCGATTGTGGGCGTTAAAGGGGGCGTGGCACCTTTTTGAAACAAACTTGCGCTGCGTAGGAACTCCTAGAATCTGCATGCAAAATGCCAATCTTCTAGATTTTATAGTTTCCGAGATCTCAGCGTTCATACGGACGGACAGGCAGACGGACAGACAGACGGACAGACGGACATGGCTATATCGACTCGGCTAGCGACCCTGATCAAGAATATATATACTTTATAGGGTCGGAAACGCTTCCTTCTACCTGTTACATACTTTTGCACGAATACAATATACCCTTTTACTCTACGAGTAACGGGTATAAATATTTATACCTTGTATGGTCAAAAGTGTTACCATCGTTGCTCTGCATGCATTTGAGTGAAATTATAATAACCTGTATGTTGCAAAATTTGGATTGAATTTGTTAAGTGAATGACAAATTGGAGTTTGAGAACTTAATTGTAAATGAATTGCTAAACAATCAAAAGTGCTTGCCGGTTTTTTTTTTTTAAAAATTTAGGAGCGACAGTCAATAAAATTGATACCTTTAATATTAAGGGAAATTTTACATTTATATCACCCGAATTTTATATTGAAAAATAAAATGATTTGAATAATAATTCTTTACAACTCATAAGTAATCATCTCAATTTCTTAATAATATCCATTTCCATTTAGAAGCTCTCATTTTGTGGCCAGACCACAATCAATTGTGAGTAAACCATTTGCAATAACGATAACATCGATTGTCTTGCAGCACTTGGATTTTTATACCCGTTACTCGTAGAGGGTATATTGGGTATATTGTATTCGTGCAAAAGTATGTAACAGGTAGAAGGAAGAGTTTCCGACCCTTTAAAGTATATATATTCTTGTTCAGGATTACTAGCCGAGTCGATCTAGCCATGTCCGTCTGTCCGTCTTTCTGTCTGTCTGTCCGTCTGTCTGTCCGTCCGTATGAACGCTGAGATCTCGGAAACTATAAAAGCTAGAAGATTGGCATTTTGCATGTAGATTTTAGGAGTTCCTACGCAGCACAAGGCACAAGCTGTGGCCACAGTTTTGATGCTATTATGAAAATTTTAATTGATATGTATTTGTTTCGTCAATACCTATAGATTGGCCTAATAAAAGTTTGCCACGCCCACTCTAACGCCCAAAAACCCATTAAACGCTTAAGCCTGGCTAGCGCCTACATTTCCGCCTTTCATGGCCCGGGTAGATGGCGCAATACAATAGCGCCATCTAACGGATGACTTTGGAACAGCTGGCCAAGGTGCTCAACAGATTCAACGTTAATTCTCGATAAGGATTTCTATTAAAGGAAATTGCGATGGTTTTCGTTTGTCAATACCGAACTATATCCCAAGAACTATGCAAATCAAATCTAGTTAGCCAAATTGGAGGTCTGAGTCAAACAATGGAGTATGTGTGTATGTATGTAAGCATATACATATGTATGTATTTACATTGTACACAGCAATTGCCCGGCAAAGATAACTCCTTTCAAAGAAAGCTATTCGCTATTACCGTTACTCATGTTGTGCAAACATTTTTTTTTTTTTTTCTGATGGACGTTGATGCACTACGAGCAGTACAAACAAGTGGCCCAACGACACCAAGCACGTGCTTGTTACGCGCGGGCCCTATTATCAATTTGGGCAAAAAATGCGAGTTCGCGAGGAAAATACATAAATTAAATAGAGACAAGACACAAGTGAAAATAAAAGGCACAATTAAGAGAAAAGCAAATGAGTTAAAATATTAGTTTTTAGTAACGGGATAGAAGTGGAAATGCAGATTAGATGATAAAGGTTGTTATAAGTATTACATAGAACGCGAAAGGGCTCGTGCAGACAAAAATTTGATGAACATCGTGGCAAATTTAGAGGGATATAATTTCGTGTTAGTCTAACAGGAACATTGAAAGTTAGGCGGTTTACAAGTTCTGCAGAATCAATATCACCTCTTATAAGATTATGCATAAAAATAGTACCAAGCATTTTTCTACGATTTACAAGTGTAGGTAAATTAAGCAACAGTAATCTACTCTGGTAGGAAGGTAGCCTTACGTTTTGATCCCAGTTCAAACTACGAAGGGCAAAAAGAAGAAATTTTTTTTGTACCGACTCAATACGGTCAATGTGCACTTGATATTGTGGACTCCAAACCGACGAACAATATTCCAAAATAGGACGGACAAGTGAGGTAAATAATAATTTGGTCGTATAAGGGTCATCAAATTCTTTTGACCAACGCTTTATAAAGCCAAGAACACTCATGGCTTTATTAACAGTGGACATTATATGGCAGTCAAATTTAAGTTTAGGGTCAAGAAGAACACCTAAATCGTTAACTGAATATATACGGACGAGTGACGTATTTTCAAGAAAATAACTAATAAACGTAGGAGTACCCCTATAAAAAGTCATGACGTTGCATTTAAGGTAGTTCAACTTTAAAAGGTTGTACTCACACCATTCATGAAAACAATCAATATCTGACTGTAAGTTAAATCCCGACGCTATATCATTATATGATAAACAAAGCTTAACATCATCAGCATACATTAGAACACGAGAATGTGTTATGATAGAGGGAAGATCGTTGATAAACAAAGTAAACAGCAAAGGGCCCAGATGACTTCCCTGAGGGACTCCAGATGTCACGTAGATCAATTTTGAAACAGAATTCTTGAGTATAACCCTCTGAGTCCTACCATTCAAGTAACTTGAAATCCAAGTTAATAGATTACCAGGAAACCCAAGCAGATCTAATTTGAATAAGAGAAGAGAGTGGTTGACGGAGTCAAAGGCCTTACTAAAATCTGTATATATAACGTCAGTCTGCATTTTTTTCTGAAATCCATTTATTACAATAGATGACAATTCAAGAAGGTTGGTGGTGGTCGATCTTCGCTTAACAAAACCATGCTGACACGGTGATATAAGCGAGG